CATGTTTGTTTTCTTATATCTTTACTTCTCTTTCTCTTTATCTTTTTTATGTGAGATGACTTATTAAATAGGCCAGTGCCTGGTGCTTACCCCCTCCCTTACTCTTAAGTATTTTAATAAAAATAGATTTAAAATTCTTCCTATCTCTACCTTCCCTCTCTAATTTCGACCATAACTGTCATACTCCTCCTCCTTTTCTCTCTCTCTCTATCACCTTATATCAACTTAAAACTACCCCTCAAAAGTGTATAAAAATAATACATAAATTTAAAACCATTTTTCATCCTTGGAAACATGATCTGATGAACCAGGTAAAGACTACATACCTGGGGAAATAAATTATAATCAATGGACCCTTAAGGTTATCTGTTTTCTAATTAAATTGAATCAATATATATATATATATATATATATATATATATATATATATATATATATATATATATATTGTTTGTAGTATTATTCCTTTATGCTCCATTGGTTGCATTTAAAGAGTTTGCTATCTAACTGGTCAGTGTTTTGGTGATTGACGAATATTTAAAGGGTGAAGTTTATTTATGGGATTCTAATTTAGGTCATCTTTAGCGATGGAACGAATAAGAATCGCTCGGTGGTAATGAAGCGTTACTAGCCTCGTTTTGAATGATAAAGTCAGTCTTTCCCCATTGAGCTGTAAGAACTAGGTCAGAAGCAAGGTCAGCTGCAAGGTACTAGTTATTCAAGCATTTGGATTATTTATCATTTCAGAATTCCCTGTAGGTTACATAGATGATGAAGGCGGAAGGCACATAGGACCGAAACGTCGTGATAAGCAGCAAGAAAAATGAGGAAAATATTTCGATTATAAATAGTGTAAATAAACATTTTATTATAATAATCGTAACTGGTATATTAGGTTGGCCAGAAAGTCCTGACTCACTTTGGAAGCGGAAAGAAAACAACAAAATTTCATGGAGCAATAGCAACATTTATTCTTCAAAAATAAAGACCATCATTCCCGACGATCTTCTACCAGCGATCAGCCAGCATCCGAAACTGTCCCAAATACCCGTCCGTTGGCTTTGAATCTAAAATCTGTAAACAAGCTTCCTTCACCTCATCAAAAGTGATAAATCGCTGGTCGCGGAGGAAGTGTGCCATTGAGCGGACTAAGCCATAGCCACACGGGGCAACATCGGGACTGTACGGTGGATGTGGAAGAATCTGAACACCATCCGTCTGTTTGAACATTTCCTTAGTCAACCTGGCAGGGTGTGGTCTCGCATTGTCTTGCTGAAACAAAGCACAACCTCAATTGACCAAAGCAGGATACTCATTCTTTAGTTTGTTGTATAAGGGTCTAGCTGCTGGCAATACAGCTGCGCGTTGATGGAGCGGACGTGTGGAACAAGCTGAAAATGCAGCCCTCCTTGGAAATTTTATCAGAGACGAGCAGTAGAGCCCGGCATTGCCCGGGGATGTAACAGTAAGAGATAGATCAAGTATCGACCATCATAAAGACTGAAAAATAAAATTGACAAAGATTAATGTTTAAGGTTGACGGACACGCATGCCGTAATTAGTTTTATTTTTTTATTATTTCTTTTATTTTTTACGAATTGGTCAAACCCAAACTCAAACAAAAACATTGTTTTCAATCGTTATGAGTCTACCAATTGAATTGAATTTTATTATAAACAATTGTCTTGTAAATGGAATTTTTAAAGCATTCTGAATGTAAAAATAAAGAAAAAAAAGTGTGCAATACAGTAAGAAACACTACCTGCCAAAAAAAGTGAAGTTTTGTTGAAATCGGTTAAAAAATGTAGGAAATCCGATTCCATATATAAACGAACACACACACACACACACACACACAACCAACCAAACTGGGTTTTATAATAGGTATAACTCGATATGAGTTGTCCCCCTTTCATTAATGCCTCTTAATCGTGTTTTCAAATTGATTTCGTGCAAAAACAATTGTGTTTTTTCCAATTTTGGGCGCTGTCATAACCACCGCAAGGTAATTTTACGTAGTCCTGTGAAGTTTTGTTGAAATCGGTTGAAAAATGTAGGAAATCCGATCTAATATATAAACGAACACACACACACACATAACCTGGGTTTTATAATAAGTATGATCACGATTTGTTCTTTCCTTTGTGCTTCCTAATTGAGTCAGGACTTTCTAACCAACTTAGTATTTGACGTCAATGTGTTTGCTTAAAAAAATGTTGGAGAGGGATAGCCGAAAGGGATACAGTCTTACTTTTCTGGCACTAGTTAATCGGCGTTTGATCCCACCTGACGTCCAACACTCACCTGTGGACCCAAATAGCTGTTTGCATGAAAAGGCCACAGTTTACCAGGGTGGGGTGGCCAAACCAGGTGACGGCTGTCAACATGCCCAAGCCCTCGATTATTTCGGATCTGTCATCCCTATTATGTGAATACTGATTCCCTGCGGAGTAGGTAGATCAGATCTCCTACGGATCAAACTGTCATGAAGGCTGTGTCAGAAAATGCCGTCTACTGCATGAGTATGGGCGTGACGAGTGGAAGCCCTGGTCATCTACTGGAGGCCTCCGCTTGTAACGGTTCTTTGTACAACTGGATAAAGAATCTTCAGACCGCGAGTGTGTGATTTTCCCACTTCAAATTCTTTCCGGATAGGTCTGTTTTGAAAATTCATCAAGATCTACTGATTAGTAGCAAGACAAAGGTTTTCGCACCCGAAGGACAATCTGGAACTTATTAGGTATTTGCAAAAGTACACAAAGCTTACTTTGTTTTAAATTAGAGGCTAAATACATCGCAGAAAAAACATATGTCTACAGAAAGTTTAATATAGTAATATCAATTTTTTTTTTTTTTAAGAATTTCACCCCAAGCAAGGCGGGAAGCCACTAGGACGCAAGGGGTTACAGAAAGTTTAGAGCAAGATCAGATAGGAGGGATAGAAGAAAGGATGAGGGTAGTGAATAGATCAAGGCAACTGGAGATGTCGATTGACATTACACTTGAATAGCTGGAGAAACAGGAATAGGGAATGAAGTTCCACAGGCGAGAGGTGCGAGACATGAAGCTATTGGAGTAGAAGAGACGGCTACATTTAGGAGTTTCGACAGTGAAGGGTTGAGAGCGGGATGCCAGCCTCGTAAGGCGCTGGAACTCATGACGTCTGGGAACCAGCGAATGCAGCTCCTTGGAGCAATTGCCATGAAAGTATTTGTAGAACAGACAGAGGGAAGCGACGGCGCGTCTGTGAGAAAGTGAAAATAAAATAAATATTACTATTCCAGGATATATGCAATCATGGCTCTCCGGAGGTTCCTTGTTTTTCTTGTCTGTGAGTTAATACGTGTTCTTGAAAAGAATAACGCTTATAGACGTTGCCATTCATAACTAAAGAGCCTCTTCTACTCTGCTATTTAACCCATAGATGGAGCGAAAATATAAATTCATAGCTTTCCCGAGGTTATTATCACTGTGGCTCGAAATGGATGCAACAGCAGCCACACCCGGATAAACCGCTTCGACTGCTCGGCAAACCAGGCGAGGTTAATCGATTGGTCCAAACCCTCGACCATTTCGGGTCTTTCAAACCTATTGCATGTGAATACTGATTCCCGGAGGGATGGGTAGATGAGATCGTCTACAGATTCAATGGCCATGAAGGCGGTGTCACCAAGTGCCAGGGAGTACATCAGTGCATCACTGCCCGGGACAAGTAGTCACCTACTGCAGCCTGGTCGCCCCCGGTTGTAATGGTTCCTCAGATAATGAGTCTCCAAACCGAGATAGTGGGATTACCCCAATGTAAAGTTTTTCTCACTCTAAATTCTTCCCGCACAGATCGGTCTCATCATTACATCATCGATCTATCAACGCACACAACTTTCACTCAAACACCTACGATGATGGATGGAGATGATCACTGGCAGTTGTATTCGCAAACCTGCAGGTAGCCGGCCCATAAGCCAGTAGCCGTTCTGTTCCTGGCGACGGGAAAGTCCGACGGGAAAGTCCGACGGGAAAGTCCGACGGGACACACGGCGACCGAGTAACCTCTTCACGAGAGCACTGTTCATCTTCACATGAGGGAAGAGGATAAAAAAAATAGGTCCACAAACAAATGCTTTCCCGCAAAGTGTCTGGTCATATTACCGCGGCTGGCAACCTCATCCCACTGTGGTCAAGCAAATCAGATGTCTAAACAGAAAAAAAAACATTAATTTTTGGAACGTGGAATTTCAGGAGGCTGCCGGACAGAACAGGTACCATGAGATCACAAGGAAGAATTGAAAAATGGAGGTTGTTGCCAGTGTAGTGATGCCAATTCTGTATCGCTGTGCGCTCAGCGAAATACGATTCATCGATGAGGGCTCTTTGAAGGAAGAGGGAAGCGGGTGTACATTCTTCCGGAAGAGGCAACCACAAACCGAAGATATACCGGAGTAAGATTTATGATTAGGAGAGCTTCGGTGAAATATATATCTGTTCTTCCAGTTGGAATAAATGAATGCCTTATAAAACTGCCATTCCTTTTCAGTAAGTCCATAAACCTTACTATCATAAGAGTCTATGCACCCACATTTACATATTCAAACAATACCAAAGAACAACTCTAGGAACATCTGGACAGCAACATGGCGTAAACCCCTTTGTCACAATAGAGTATTTCAATGCAAGTGTAAGAAGAAACTACTACAGATGTAAAGGAGTGATTTGGAGATATACTATCGGCAAGGTCAACGACTACTACTTGCCCCTCTTGAGTATTTTCTGGGATGGACAATTATGCTGTAACAGGATTTGGACAATTTTGCTTTTACACCCGGTATGTCTAAAGAAAAGTGTACATCTCTTTCTGACCATGTGCAGTAGTTTCTGTTCTCCTTGAAACGTTCGCAGTTTTTGACAGAACATCTTGAAATATCTAGGGTCAACCGTTATCGTTCTTATATACGCTCGTAATATTCTGACTTGCTTCTATTATACTCTTGCAACAGTATCATTCAGTAACCCTCTACTTTGAAGGAGGGACGGAGGGAGAAAGAAAGACATAAAGGTGATAAGTTGAAAAAAGGAAAAAACGAAAAGAAAGAACGGGTACAAAAACCATAAGTTGAAAGAAAGAAAGAAAGAAAGAAAGAAAGAAAGAAAGAAAGAATGAGCAGAATACACCAGACTGTTGTGGGAAAGAAAGAACGAACAAAATGGAACAGAACAGAAACTGTTGAATAAAAAGGAAAGAAAGAAAGAAGGAAAGAAAGAAAGAAAGAAAGAAAGAAGGAGCGGAGGAAGGAAGGAAGGCAAAGACAAAAATTATAAGTTGAAAGAAAGAATACATAAAAGAAAGAAAGAAACAAACAAAGAGAGGAACGGAGGAAGGAAAGAAGGAAGGAAAAGACAAAAATTAAAAGAAAGAAAAAATACATGAATCGAAAGACCGTTGAAGGAATGAAGGAACAAAATGGAAAAGAACAGAAAATTATAATAAAAAGAAAGAAAGAAAGAAAGAAAGAAAGAAAGAAAGAAAGAAAGAAAAAAGAAAGGAAGAAGGAATGGAGGAAGGAAGAAGGAAGGAAAAAGACAAAAATTATAAATTGAAAGAAAGAATACATAAAAAAAGAAAGAAAGAAAGAAAGAAAGAAAGAAAACAAAAAGAGGAAAAGGAAGAAAAATGAAGAAAAAGACAAAAATGAAATAAAAAAAAATAAATGAAAGAAAGAAAGAAAGAAAGAAAGAAGGAAGGAAAAGACAAAAATTATAAGTTGAAAGAAAGAATAAAAGAAAGAAAGGAAGAAAGAAAGAAGGAGCGGAGGAAGGAATGGAGGAAGGAAAGAAGGAAGGAAAAGACAATAATTATAAATTGAAAGAAGGAATACAAGAAAAGAAAGAAAGAAAGAAAGAAAGAAAGAAAGAAAGAAAGAAAGAAAGAAAGAAAGAAGAAAGAAAAGACAAAAGAGAAAAGAAAAGGAAAAAAATGAACAAATGGAACAAAGTGAAATGTTGAATAAAAAAGAAAGAAAGAAAGAAAAGAAGGAAGGAAAAGAAAAAAATTAGAAAGTTGAAAGAAAGAAACAAGAAAGAAAGAAAGAAAGAAAGAAAAATGAGCGGAGGAAGGAATGGACTGAAGGTGGGAAGGAAGGAAAAGAACAAAAATGGAATAAATTGAAAGTTGAAAAAAAAAGAAAAAGAAAGAAAGAAAGAAAGAAACGAAAGAAAGAAAAGAAAAGAAAGAAGGAAGGAAAAGAAAAAAAAATTATAAGTTGAAAGACCAGACTGTTGTGGGAAAGAAAGAAAAACAAAATGGAACAGAAGGAAACGGTTGAAATAAAAAGAAGGAAAGAAGGAAGGAAAAGACAATAATTATAAATTGAAAGAAAGAAATACAAGAAAAGAAAGAAAGAAAAGAATGAGCAGAATAGAAAGGACTGTTGAAAAAGAAAAGGAAAAACAAAAGAAAGACAAAGGAAATAAAAAAAGTTGAAAAAAAAAGAAAAAGGAAGGAAGGAAGGAAAGAAAGAAAGGAAGGAAGGAAGGAAGGAAAAGACAAAAATTATAAGTTGAAAGAAAGAATACATAAAAGAAAGAAAGAAAGAAAAGAAATAAAGGAATGGAGGATGGAAAGAAGGAAGGAAAAGACAATAATTATAAATTGAAGGAAGAAAAATACAAAAAATTAAAGAAAAAAAAATAAAGAAAGAAAGAAAAGAAAGAAAGAAAATGAAAAAAGAAAGGACAAAAGAAAAAAAAAATGATGAAGAAAGACAAAGTGAAATACAAAAAAAGAAAGAAAGAAAAAAAAAAAAGAAAGAAAAGAAAGAAAGGAAAAGACAAAAATTATAAGTTGAAAGAAAGAATACAAAAAGAAAACAAGAAAGAAAGAAAGAAAGAAAGAAAGAAAGAAAGAAAACGGAAAAATTATAAGGAAAGAAAGGGAAAAGACAAAAAATTATAAGTTGAAAGAAAGAAAAAAGAAAGAAAGAAAGAAAAGAAAGGAAAAAAACAAAAATTAAAGTTGAAAGAAAGAAAGAAAAGAGAGCACAGGAACGTGATAAATCGGAAGAAGAAAGAAAGAAAAGGAATAAAAGAGTGTTAAGTTGAAAGAAAAAAAGAGAGAAAGAAAGAAACAAACAAACAAAAAGAATAAGTGATAAGTTGAAAGAAAGAAAGAAAGAAAGAAAGAAAGAAAGAAAGGGAAACGTTTATAACAGTATGAATGGGAAAAGGTGAGTAAAGAAGTATATAAAAGAAAAAGTAACCGAAAAAATGTGAAAAGCTCTTATATTAAAAAGTTAAAAAACCACTGAATAAATACAAAATAAAAATTATTATTATTATTATTATAATATTAATAATAATAATAATAATAATAATAATAATAAACCAGGTATCTTGATAGAAAAGACGACCTAGGAATCTGGTGGAGAACTGGTACAAGCCACCTCAAGAGGGTGGGGAAGCTCTCGTTTTGTCTATTCACAATGCCAGCTGAACTTGATTGTCGTCCAATTATTTGTAAACTGTCGGCAAAATCCTGGGCACTGCGCGCATTCTTTCAGAGATGATCGCGAGACAATGGCGCGAATAAAATAGACTGAATTGACAAGTCAGTCTGGAGGGCAAGAATCATCTGTTAGTTTTATCAAATGATACTTGAGATTGTGAGATTGCTTCACTTCTTGGGAGACACACAGACAGACAGCTCGGGAAACCGTAGGCAAATACATGACAGGGTTGATGTGGGTGGATGCTCTCGGGCCGCTTTCTACATTTCGAACCGCTCAATGCCCACAGACACAATAATAATAATAATAATAATAATAATAATAATAATATAATAATAATAATAATAATAATAATGGTGGTGGCAACAGTAGTAGTGATTTGCCTGAATATGACGCTTTTTAAGAAAAAAACGGAGTAATAATAATATACGGTAATCTTTCAACTTGTAAAGAAGACTGTTATGCCAAACCCTGTCAAATGTCTTCGAGATGTCCAAATCAGCAGACTGAGCTTCACCATTCTTATCCAAAGATTTACAGACCCATTCAAGAATAATCGTTAACTAGTTTTAACCGCTGAAAATTTGAAGGTTTTCCTATTTGAAATTTCTGATGATTTCAGTGAAAGCTTGAATAAGTTGATGGCGAGTTCTACGACAATAAAATGTCCGTAGAAATTCCTCTGTCGCATCGTTAAATATTTGCGCCTAACAACTTTAAGAAAATATTGCAAGAACAATCATGGATATGAATGCTGGTCGTTATTTTAAGGAAGTAAGGATACAAATGAACATAGTTGAAATTTTCAAATTTCTTCATTTCCCTGGAACAGTTAAACATATTTTATCTTCCCTTTCTTTCTTTCTTTCTTTTCTCACTGAAACCAAGTAGTGTCTCCCCTTCTTTCTACACGATCAAAAACAGAATAGTTCATTATTTAAGCGGTATTGGCAGGGCGTAACGGTCGTACAAATGTAGGGGCAAGGCAATTATAATAACAATTAATAATAATAATAATAGTGGTGGCGACAGTAGTAATGGATGAATCTGACGGTATATAAGAAAAATAAGACTAATAATAATATTTTGTCCAGAAATAAGATAATTCTTCAACTTGTAAAGAAGACTGGTATGCCAAACCCTGTCAAATGCCTTCGAGATGTCCAAATCAACAAACCGAGCTTCACTATTCTTATCCAAAGATTAACAGACCCTTTCAGGAATAATCGTTAACTAGTTTTAACACGGGAAAATTTCAAGATTTTTCTATTTTCAATTGTTTATGAATCTTAACTCTTCAGTTAATAATTAAATAAACTCATGGATCTTAACTCATAAGTTTAATGACTGAGTAAGCTCATGGCGAGTTCTACGGCGATAAAATGTCCGAAACAGACTTTGTGCAAAACTATGAAAGAATTGTTCACATATTTGTTTTCACAGTCTGGGTTGTTAAGTAAGTGCTGTCAAATAGCCGAATCATATGGAGAATGAGTCAGTCTCAAAGATCACGGTTCGCTCATCATTTACGTCTCCTTGAAGCGGTCCATATTAAGATACATCAACTGGATCTGTGCAGACAGAAGAAGCATTTCATTTGCTTCCTCAATCTTTAGGGGGTTCATTAGTACTCTTTTCCCATTTCGTACTCACTTGGAACTGCTTGTTTTTTTTTTTATTTTTTATTTTTTATTTTTTTGTAAATTATTTTACCAATAAATATATTTTAATCGTGTTCTATAATTTCCCCTCTCCTTTTTTCCTTTTTTTATTCACTGTGTAAATTGCTCTTTTCTTTGTTCTCGTCAAAGGTTACATCAACGTTTTCCTTCTAACGATGCTTTAGCTGAAAGGATTCCTTAATATTAAAATACCTTCGTGTATTTTTTTTTTAAATTCTTTATTTGGAAATAATATTCCTCTTCTCCTGATCTATGAATAGTGACAAATCTATTTTTAGCTATTTGAGAATATCCCGGATGCAGACGCAAAAAAGAAAACTAAAATTTAGATTATTGATTTACGATGCTTACTCAAACACAAGTTCAAAGAAAGGATGACGTTGCAAATAACAATGTTTTTTTTACAGATACAAGTCCTACCATTTAACCCATAGCTACGGGGTCATGCCATTCCTAAGAGTATTGGCGCATAAGTCAATGTAACGAACATGATTGGGATTCGAAATCAACCCTCCGATTTCTCATTTCGAGCCACTCTTTATTGCACCGCCCGCACATTTTGAAATATCCCGTACTACGTGTATATATATATATATATATATATATATATATATATATATATATATATATATATACAAGTATATAATTGGTCTATACGGAATGAATTCCAATAACTAACAATTACTATTCTTAAAAGAGTGCTCAATAAAAAGTAGAGCAGATATAATTTTTTTTTTTAATTTATAACATAAATATGTTATAAAATCACTACAAAAATAGCCATTTTGTTTCAACACCCTCGGTGTCTTATCAAAACCATTTATTTTACATTCAACATCATCACTTGATAAGACACCGTAGTTGTTGAAACAAAATGGCTATTTTTGTAGTGATTTTATAACATATTTATGTTATATTTTTTTTTACATAATCATATATATATATATATATATATATATATATATATATATATATCAATTTTATAGGGGTATCGCTTTACAATACATTTACATTGCAAACTGGACCCCCTTTTATGAAATTAAATATATTTTTTATATTCGAGTTCTGGGTTGTTCTGCTTATTTCTCGTCGAACTGCCTATTTTACAACGCATATACATATCGCGTAATCATATCTACATACATACAAACATTTGGGAAAGTTTGCCGTAGCTGTATAAGTAAACAGAAGAATTGGATTTGTATCTTTCTTAAGTGTAATTTATATGAACGTGAAACTAAAGAACTCGATAGGAATTCGAACCCGACTTGCCAATTTCGTTTTCCTAATCGCTAACCTTTAAACGATATGTATTTATATTGTCGAGCCCGGTCAGTATTTAAAATTAGAGACTACTTGCCAACACCGAGTTTACTGTAAGAGACCTCTTAAAATCAGACGTATATTTTGGCTTTACATGACTCAAAAAAATAAATCAATCAAAACCTCTATTATTAATCCATAATTTACAAGAACATTTAAGTAAAATTCTGGTCGGAAATATAAGAATTCTATATAAATCGAATTATCAGAAACATCTCACTATTCGAGAGGCCCTATATATCATACAATTCTTTCCTACGATGAACCTTTAACATGTGGTGTTGAAATTTTTTTAAAAAACAAAATATAGAAAGATGCTCACGCGAATTCCAGTCGCGCGCGGCCTGTGAGAGCTTGGAATGAACGCTCCTTTTTTCCAAAAAAAAAACAAGACAACTATAATTTACAACGTGACAGTCAAAATATGTGTATTAATAACATCACCAGAGAAAAAAACACCCTTGAAAATAGCTAGAGAAGTGGCCGAAAGCGATTGGGATAAGAAAAATTATAGACAATTTTTATATTCCTTATCGCCTAAAAAATTGGAAAATATTAGGATGATGGAAAAACTTAGTAAAAAATGAATTCAATCTTCCTTGTTCAATGAAAGATAATCTATTTATATATGTCCATGGGTAAATCATACAGTAAAAGCAATTTCCATACAACAACTTTATTTCCACTGATCAAGAAAAATGTATATGTCACTTTTCCGCAAAGACCTCGTCCTGGGTATGACGATAGACTACATCCGATAGAAAGTCTTCTGATTGGACGGTTTTGAGAAGCTTCGAACCACCTCTTTAATTGCTGCCGATCCCCGGTCCATCTTGAGACGGGGTAGTTTTGTAACTGTTGTTATAACGAAATAATGAAGTTGAACATCAGATATTGCTATTATTTAAAACTTTATTTTTGGTAATACCAACATGTAACCAGCGGATTGGAGAAGACTGAACAGAGCCGTGATTTTGCACATGTGTTTATGTGTCCGCCATTATTCTCGTCTTCCCCAACCGAGAACTCCCCGATCAAGGCCGATAACTCCGCACGGTTATCTCCCTTAGTTGGCTCCGCCAAAACACCTTCATCTTTTTTAAGTATTCTATCTTGCAAGTCTGGGGTTTACTGGCAAGGTGCTAATTTTGAATGCCTTTCGATCGCTTTTGGCTTTGTTCATCATTACTATCTGGTGCTGATTTAGTTAGAGGTGAGTGTTGTAGCAAATCGAAGGTGTCCATGAGTAAGTCGAAAGGAATAGATAGCCTCTCACGTACAGGGTCATTCTTTGTGAGTCGTGGGCGAAGTTGCTGTTTGTGTCGCATCCAGACCTAGTTTCTAAGTTTAAACCTTGTACACTCTTTTTTCTTTTTCTTGCCTGTATGATACCAGGTACCCAACTTGGATTAACAGGTTAGTAATTTCTAGCAAATACTGGTGTGTGTATTTGTAGTGGCTTTTGTGGTTGTTGGCTATGGACTTGTTTTTGTTGAGGACGTAAGGCGTCCAATGTTGTACGGAGTTTCTGTCCCATGAGTGCCTCTGATGGTGTTTTTCTTTCTTTTACTGACTCATTCTGGATTGCGCAATATGCCAGGAGGAAGGCTTGTAATGTCTCCTCTGTTGTCACCTCCCCACATTCTTTAAGTAAGGCGCAATTGAATGTGTCAACAAAATGTTCTGCCTGCCCATTCGACTGTGAGTGTTAAAGTGTTGATCGGACATGCGTAACACAGTTCGCCTAGCAGAAATCTTTGAACCTATCTGACATGAACTCTGACACCAAGGTCTTTGGGAGGTCGTGTTGACTGTAATAGCAGTGGAAGGGGCTGAATATTAAACCACGGAGGAGTCATGTTTCAAGTTTATAAGGCGCTTGCATTCAGCTGCCACTTAGCGCTGTGTCATGTCGGGATAATGTTCAGTTTTAGACAGAATCCACGTATTATTAGATTGTGAACTTTTGGAAGACCGCCACATGTGTGTTTGCATCGAGGTGACTGACAGAACCCATCCTTGTGTCCTGTTTTGTTACGTCCTTGACAGCAATGTGTCTTGAATGGACAGTTATGTGCAAAATACCATCCAGCGCAGTTCCATTATACGGAGTGGGGCTCGCCAGCCCTCTTGTCCGATGCTGAACTTTCTGCTATGTCTTGTTGTTGGACCGTGTTGACTTTAATGGAAGGGACTGAATATCGAACCATGGAGAAGGCATGTTTCAAGTTTATAAGACACAGGCATTCAAGTACTTCTTGTTGCAGTGTAATTTTTGACAGGATCCGAGTATAAACTTCTGCTTCAATTGGTGAAGCCACAGGAAAGAAATTGAGCATTTAAATTGGGAAGCTGTGATTGATGAGAGTCCGAATCGTTCAAATTTCCAGTTGACAATACCGGCATATATTGTGAAATCTTCATTATTATATTTAGACAAATTCAAACAATTGAAACCTAGATTAAAAATAAACGTTTGCTCACCGAAAATTTCTGACAATATGTCCACTGTGTCTTTTAAGGTGTAATCACGTGGCAGTTTAGGGTGAATATAATTGGTATATTTCTCGTGTTCCGGCACTCTATGCTTTCGTGGAAGAAGCCTGACTTTCCAGTCATCCGTTTGCGCCAGAAATTCCACACGAAAAAGATCGTAGCGTTTGAACCACGCGTTGAAAATTGATTTTGCATCTGGGTCTTCTGTGCTGAATTGTGCAGTCAATTCCATCATAGATAAACTGGTCTCTTTTGACAATGTTGTTCTTGAAATTTTGTTTGCAAACAGTTCCATTAATTTCAACTGTTGCTGAAGAAGTAGTAGTAGAATATAATCGTGATTTGCACGGGTATTTATGTGTCCGCCATTGTTCTAGTCTTCCACAATCAAGGCCGATAACTCCGTAAGGTTAACTCTCTTAGTTGGCTCCGCCATAGCAGTTAACGATGCCTGTTAGACCCTGAAAATGGGCAAATAGTTTACCGCCCAAATTGGAGTCGAAAACACTACGAAACTATAAAAAAAATATTTATAGTAAAAATGCCACCAATACATTTTTAAAAACAAATTAACAGAAATTCCTAAATTGGCTTTTTTCTCACCGTTTTTCCGATAAATATTACCAGAAATACGTCAATAAAACTTGATCTACAAACTGATTTCTTACAAAGAATATGTATTCTATTCATGCGAACCTATCCTAGAAGTTTTGTCGATATTAAATAACCCACTGAGGTTGATTGCCGTAAAACTAAATAAACCCAAACTCTGTTCTACAAATTGATTTCTTACAAAGAATACATATTCTATTCATACGAACCTATCCTCAAAATCTTGTCGGCATTAAATAACCCATTACAGTTGATATACCATAAAAGAAAATAAACCCTACTTTTGGTATTGCCATAAAAGAAAATAAACCAAAAATCTGATCTACAAACTGATTTCTTACAAAGAATACATATTCTATTCATACGAACCTATCCTAAAAATCTTGTCGGCATTAAATAACCCATTGACGTTCATATATCGTCAAACAAAATAAAGCATGATCTACAAACTGATTTTTTACAAATAATACATATTCTATTCAAACGAACTTATCCTGAACGTCTTGTCGGCATTAAATAACCCATTAAGGTGTTGATATGCCGTAAAACAAAATAAACGAAAACAAACCATCGACATTGACCCTTGCACGTCGATACACTTCTGGTATCGTTCAACGACCTTCTACATCCTTGGCAAAAAGAAGTTTTTCTGTTGCTCGCGGCTCACGACTCCTTGCTTGTTTGGTCACCGAATACGCGCAAATTTTGCTGTACACCATGTACTGCTGGTGCAGGTTCACACTTGATGCCCCCCGATTACCGCCACTTGTGTAAACGAGATTCGTCACTCAAGGAATCCACCTTCTGGATTTGTTCTTCCGTACGCGATGTTGATGAGCGTCAAGATCGCTTTACGTCCGTTACGCTTGTTCCTCCAACCCCAAAGCGTTGTACCGACTCATACACATTTCGTTGTTTCATACTGCGTTCTCCATACTGCGCTAACACACGGCGATGGATTTCTGCAGGTTTATCTCCCTCGACCCGGAGAATGCTCACTATGGCGTGTTGTTCCTCGATGGTGCAATTGATGAGTAGATCGCCCATACCTCTGGCCTCGTTTCTCTATTCAACTGGACTAAATGATGGAATACCGCCAGCAGCTAGCTACCTCTTATCGCATGCACACCCCTGTTGTCGCACGTCAACACCTTCCTGTTGTTTTTATCGTAAGATTTCAAATTTTCTTTTACCGTCTTATTTACTCAGGTATTTGCTTTAAAATATTAACATGGAGACATTTATTAAGCACAGTGATAAAGATATTTTAACTCGAGAAACTTCTTAGCTAGCCTTCGAAATGGGCAAATAGTTTACCGCCCAAATTGGAGTCGAAAACCCTACGAAACACTATGAAAATATTTATAGTAAAAATGCCACTGTTATGGGTTCCTCCCCTTTTTCATATAAGTGGACTCGACCAAAGTGTTACTTGGACTACTGCCGTTAAATACCCGGAGTCAGTCAGAATATAGAGAGAGTGAGAGAATGAGCAGAGATTGTGATTGAGTTGGAGGTAGAGTAATAGTGTGAGGTAACCGCTTGTAGAAGTCAGTTACAAGCACGTAGACTCTAAAGAAGTCCGACTTCGAGACTATATATATATATATATATATATATATATATACTATATATATATATATATATATATATATATATATATATATATTATTGCCACTAACCGCGTTCCTAGATTTACTAACAGTATTACCCATTGTATTATTGTGCAAATACATTTAATTTCTTATCTTTAATTCCTGCGTTTGTCATTCATTGGAGACCGAATTTCATCTCGGAATCCACAACAGCCACCAATACATTTTTAAAAACAAATTAACAGAAATTCCTAAATTGTTTTTTTTTTCTCACCGTTTTTTCCAAAAATATTACCAGCAATAAGTTTTATTCTCGACAAAAAACACTTTTTTACAGAAATACGTCAATAAAACCTGATCTACAAACTGATTTCTTACAAAGAATATGTATTCTTTTCATGCGAACCTATCCTAAATGTTTTGTCGGTATTAAATAACAGGCAATATCCTTGTTGTGCAAACAGATTGTATACTGGTAGGTCCTGACCAGTGCACGAATTTTCATTCGTGAAGCACACAGTGAGGAAAAAACTTGCTACCAACATCTGCAGTATAGAAACACGCCTACTATTCATCGCTTTGCTACATTCATTCTCTACATGGTTGTTGTGGTAGGATCCACCTAATTTGCATAGTGGAGTACCGACCATATAAATATGGTTGGTAACCGGGAAGAGAGGAAGGAATCAAGAGATTCAACCAGAGACTCTGCCCGACTGCGACTCAGTCAACACATTCTCCAGGAACGGTCTTACCAGGAATATACAAAAGACTATATGTAAATATTGTGTACACTTTCTTGTTTCAATACATTTTGTTTCTAAGTACATTTTGTGTTGCATTATTATTCCATGCATTAGTCAAGTTTTAACAATAGTATAAGCAGATATTTGTAGAGAGTACTAATCGGGAAATATTCACTCAGTGTGAAGAAAAACAAGCTAAAATATAATACATCCGCGTCCTGAGTAAGACGATAAACTACATCCGCGTCCTGAGTAAGACGATAAACTACGTCCGACAGCAATTTTGGGGAGCGTGAAACCACCTCTTAATTGCGGGTGTTCCCAGATTCACCCTGACCCGGGGAGGTAGCACCTGTTAGGGTCCTAGCTATCGGCAAATAGTTAACACCCACAAACTGGGATCAAAACACTATGAAAGTGTAAAAATAAGTTTTTTAACTAGCAATACATTTTTGTAAAAATATTACCAGCAACGAATATTTGAAGGAATACATTTTTGAAAAAAAGAAATATTTCTAGCAATACGTTTTTGAAGAAAAACATATTACAAGCAGTTCATTTTTGAAGAACAAAATATTACAAGCAATACAATTTTGATAAAAGAAATATTTCCAGCAATACGTTTTTGAAGAAAAAAAAAATTGCAAACAATTCATTTTTGAAGAAAAAAAATATTACCAGCAATCCATTTTTGAAGAAAAAAATACTACCTGCAATACATTTTTGAAGAAAAAACATATTACAAGCAATACATTTTTAAAACATGGAAAATTTCCAGCAATACATTTTTGAAAAAAAAAAAGTATTACAAACAATACATTTTTGAAAAAAATTATTACTAGCAATAAAAATCTTGTCGGCATTAAATAACCCATTGAG